CCTGTGAGGAAGGCTACTGTCAGAAGGTACAGAACAATCCCATTACCTACCTCTTGGTTCCTTGATCCTTTTCTGGAGTGTCAAGACTTTTTAATACGTTATTTAGGTCTGAGTTTACCTGCTTTTGAACTCAAGCTTTGTTAAGCAACATGTATGTCCTGGCTCAGGCTCTATCTCCCATTTGCTGTTCTGACCTTGGGCTGTTGTGTAACAACTGCAGTAGAGGGAGACAGAAGGAGGTTTGAAGCACAACCTTCTTGAATGACTTCATGACTTGAAGTGTGTGTTTATCTTTGTTTTGTCCTCGGCCTGTAGGGAGTAGAAGACATTTTTGGAGACTTTTTCTGTTCTCTCTGTTATGTTCTCTAGGGGGTGGAAACGGAAGAAGAGATGACAACAATGTCACACACTTAAATACATGTGAGTAATGGCACAAGCACTTGTTAAGTCAGATGTTTCTTTGAAACATCAAAAATTATTAAATTTTCATGGGAAGCTTGAAACATTGTGTATTAAAGCACAGTCACCATGTTTTACATTTTTAATAGCAGCCCTTGACTTCCCTTTCTGAGACCATCATGGAAACATCACATGCCAATGAATAAAGCTTTATTAAAATTATTGTACAAAAATGGAATTGGGGTTTAACCCTCTGACGTTAAACATTGCATAGATGTCAAAACAGTGGGTAATTTTATACAGTCTGTTTAACAAGGCATCAGTATTTGAGTGGCAGCCTTAACTTTTCACTACCCTCAGTGAAACTAAGGGCTTGGAAGTGCATTTTGAATAAAGGGCCAAAACAACCTGTCTTCTGAACCATGGCTTTGGCTCCAGGAATCTGCAAATCTGTGCTGAGCTGTCTCTGAGCTTCCTGTAGAAATCCACACTTGGGCTATGTATGTAAACAAAGGGGCAAGGCCAGCAGCTCTTAGTGGCATAATCCAAACACACCAGGGACATGAATGCCAGGTCAGACATCACTTTTTTTTTCTAAGTCAGACTGTGTTACTGTGTAGTAACAACTCGCAGCATAATAGTGCCAACTGAGGCTAAAAACTGCTCCACAGTCTGGAGCGGCTGCTGCACAGGATTATGTGTCCTGATTACATGAGCACATATCAGTTCCAACAGTTAGCCAGAAAACAGCACCAATCAAATGATCTAAACTTCCCAGATGTAAATGCATGACACCTCCTAGCATTGTGTTCCAGTTGTATAAGCTGGACAGGATAGCAGATCAAACAGTGCAATTCGTTTGGATTACCTTGGTTCTGCTTCATGCCCCTCTGGGCAGATTCGTGTATGCACATCAAAAATATTTTTAAAGTCTTAATTATTTAAATTTAAAGTATCAATAAATATTTAAGCGTGATTATTTCTAAAGATTTTATAATCTTGATTTGTTGATGCAGTTGCATTTCCATTTATGTAAAACAATAACAATGACAGGAAACAACAACAAAGAAAACTGAGACAGTCTACTCCTGGCACCCTTGGGGCCAATATTTCTTTGTTCCATGGTATAATACTAAGAAGCACAAGTAATTTTTTCAAAATCTGTCCTATTGTAATGTCATGTACACTGTAGCAAAGACGTCTAGTCATCAGAGAAGTTGCTGTACTCAGCCATAGCTTAAAACTCTTATTAATTGCCACAATAATACGTTTGCACACGCAAAATACGTAATTAAAGATCTCATAGTTCTTAAAGCCTAATCAGTACTCACTGAGACTAGCATATGTTTTTTAGAAGCTGAGCTGAATATTTAGTTGAACTATGAAACGCTAGGTTACTGTGTGGGACAGACAGGTTCCCTCTGTGAAGTTTCCTCCTCTCCTCTAACTATGCCAGAGAACATCAAGACGTGCTCCACAGAGAAGAGGGGGAGTGCTTCTCTGGCAGCTTCTCTGGTTTCAGTGTTGATTTCTTGTGCTCTGGCTAACATGAGACAGATTGGTTCCTCAAACACCTGTGTGAGGTTGTAACAAAGACATTGTTCATCTGTAAGAGATTAATGAGAGCCTTCATTTGCCAGAGCCCTCCTACAAGCACCTCATGCTTCCCGATGTCTCATATTTCCTGTGGCGACTGGACTGAAAGCATGTCCAAGGCAGTGCCACACTGGAACCTTGGTCACCTCGTCGGCAGCTCCACTTGTGTTGATACACAAGGACAGTCTTAGGCCACCTTCATTCCCTTGATCAGTGCCTGCCCAGTCCCCACAGAGTGCCAAAGAGCCTGCTGAGCTGCCAGCTTGCTCTGACTTGTTGTTTTTCCTTTGCTGTGCAAACAATCAGAATGCCTGCAGGTAATTCCTGTCATTCAGCCAGTACTGTTAGGCAGGGGCATTACTTTCCATTTGGTGACTTTACAGGTCTGCAAAGCACACTGGACGTTTATGATGCCACATAAGAATTCTTTTACTTGGTACAAACATATTGCCTAGAGAAGAAATGTCCTACTGAGGAAAAGAAAAAGCCTTTCATCTTGTAAAACTTACCTAAATCTTATTTATAATTAGCAGAGAAACAAACTTCTATGCAAGCAAGGCTCTCCCTTTTACTTATGTTATTTAATTCTGAATTAAAAAAATATATAAGTCATCAGAATAACCCATTAGCAAAATCGTAGTTATAATACAGGTTAGAAGTGGTACGTAGTACAAAATATATGGCACAATGCATGGTGTAAGAAATAACTTCCTTTTAAGATATCCACAGTAGATTTGAGTGGTAGGTTGAATGTAGAGCACGATGAGCAATTCAAGTTTGTTGTGAGAGTTATGTATTTTAACTTCTTTGATAGCTGTTGGTCTGTGCTAAGACAAAGAAATATGCCATGAAGTCATGAATGGTTTTATTAAAGCATTTTCAGATAATATAATATATAATGTAATATAATGTAATTAATATAATATCTGGGTTGATATTCAAACATTCTGTTCAGGTTTTGTTTTCAGTTTGTAGTTGGTTGCAAACATTGTTTGCCTTAGAGGTAGGTATGTATAATAGCATTAACTGTGTAGTATAATATCATGCTGATAGATTATATGTTAAGTGCTTTAATTTGGGTCAGTACATCAGAAAGCAAGATTTGCCTTTGATTAAAATTTTGTGGGCTTATAATACTCAAACACCCCCCACCACAGAGCTTCATTTGTTCTGAAGTATCTGTTTGTTAAACCTTTAAATAGACAGACAGATCATTACCTTACATTTGGTTCTCCTAAATATATCCCCATATATTTAGAAAATTAGTGTTGTATCAAAAGGACCTAAATTCACAATGCTTATTCCCTACATAGGGAAGATCTCCATTTAAAACACCAAACTTTCTAGTTAATGCATTTAAGTGGCTGCATTACTAGCAGCTCTGGTAGAACAGAACCTCAGATATGTTTTCTCCCAAGCAGTGCTCACTGCATACCCGTGTAGTCTTGGACTCACTTCTAAAGGAAAATTAAAATATAGAAACTTTCTTCTTTTCTTTCATGCTTAGTATTATCGTGGGATACTAATGAAAGGCCTGAAGCTAATTTTAAGGAAGCATAAGCTGTTGTTAATTTTCAAATATATCTTCTTTTCTTTGGAATTGTCATTATTCACATTGTGCTTCATATTGTCAGCAGATAAACAACTTGATTGTGCCAATCCCTTAACTCCATCAATACCAATGTTTTTATCAGCAGACACATTAGGTTTCTTTCTGTTCGTTCCGCTAAGGGATTTCCTCCTTTCTTCCCCTGACTTTCCTCTTAAGACAGAGGACAGCATTGGGGAATTAGGAGAAGTTTTATCTTTAGTAGGTACTCCATGTGAAATTTGTTCCTTAGTCCTAACAGTCCTTCAGGTAAAAGCAAAAGAAGCCATCCTAAGCAAACTAAGCCTGTGAGAGAGCAAAGAATTAAACCTGATTTCTGTTGTAACACGTTGACATCTCTGGGAAACAGGTACATGGGACATTAGCATCCCACAAGTTGGCTCACAGTATGTATTAGTTGTCAAAAAGTATTATATATTTTACTAAAATGCTTGTTCATTTTGGAAGTAATTTCTTTGAAGCATGATCCTGCTGTATGGTCGTCAAAAATCCAGCCTTGTAGAGCAAAAACCCAGAATGAGGGGAACAAGATTCAGCTGTGTTTGAAGCAGTTTCTGCCTTCCCATCCCTCTCACCTGAACACAGTCTGCATCGTCAAGGCCAAGTTCTGCTGTTCTGCAGCCCCATAAATCAGCTGCTCCTCTCTCTAGAGTGATATGTCTTTGATGGAAGGGCAAAGAAAGGCCTAGATGAGTTGTGAAAATAGTTTGCTCTTCAGAAATGTGACAAAAGAGAGTTTTTACTATTACTGCTTCAGATAAGCAAGTAACTTGATTTTGGCTCCCTTTTTCCAGATCAGTGCTCTCCTGAGCACAATAGGGCACAGACTGCAACCACAGGTTTTTTAAAACCAAAGCAAACCTTTAAATTCTTTCAAGTTCGGCCTTGCAAACTTCAAGTGGAAGCAGATGTTGCCTTTCAGTAGCACATAAACTATAGACTCTCACAAAAGGTAAGTTTTTCAGGAGGTTATTCTGAATGTTTCTGTTCATGCTGCCTTTAGGCTGTTCTTTGATCATAAAAGTTAAGGATATTGTCGTGAGGCCTGTGACTCCCTGTACCTTTCACAAAGGTTTCCAAACCCAATTCAGAACTATGTATTTAGAAGCTCGGAAAGTTCAACTGTTAAAATTCCTAAATCCACTCCCTTTCTTTTTTTCTTTTTTTTTTTCCCCTAAATTGAAGCTTTTTGTACAAATAGTGAGGCCTCAATTTAATCTGAGTGTTAAAAAAGCCCTTTAGCAGCTGCAGCTGAGGGGCATGATGATGATGGTACTGATGAGGAGCAGGTGTGGAAGGAGGGGCTGTTCTGTGAGGGGGCACCTGTGGGCAGTTGAGGTGAGGCAGTTGAGGTGAGGCGGCAGGGAAGTGAGATGGTCTGAGGGTGTGGGGCAGGTCGCCCCAAAAAAGAAGGAGCCTGTCTCAGGAAGGTTTTAAAAGACAATATTGATCCTCTGTGAGGGGCTCTCCTGCTGCTGGACTACAGTGCTTGGTCGTGCACAGTGTGAGGGGGTGCAGCTGCTTTTGTTGGTGAGTGACTTTAAAAACACTTAAAAGGACTGGGGTGCTGCTGGAGAGTCACAACTGAGGCTTGGGGAAACAGAGAGCTGTAGTGGAAGGACTGCTTGATGTTTTCCAAGGGCATGAAGAGAGGGAAAAGCCTTCCTTTAGATGTCAGTGTGACCACAGGAGGTGTTTGTGACCTCAGATGGCTGTCGAGGCAGCGTGAGGAGAGTGACTGGGGCAGGTGCACGTTTAGTTTGAGTTTAAAAGCAAATAGCTCAGAACATCAGCATGGAATTTTAGTGCCTTGTCTTACCTTTGTTTTGCTGAGGAGAATTACAGTTCTTACCCATGGGATAGATGTTAGATTGAGTTTAAAGCTGAATTTTAGATGATCCTTTGGAAGGCTGACCAACTTCCAAACTTTTCTGTAGGAAACTGTAGGATCTTTAGTTTAGCTGAAGGTTTAAATCCTTTGTGTGCTGTAATTTTACTTTTTGAAAGCAAGGGTGGGAAACTCCATGATAAGAGGAGGAAAACTTGGAGCTCATGGGAACTGCAGTGGTGTGAGAGGGTTTTGCAGATGGTGGTTGTGGGATTGGACAGAGTTCCTTTGGGACTGACTGCAGCCAGCAAGAGGCTTTTCTGCCTGGTTGAAGTTTTCATGGCATGGATAAAGTATAAGCTACCAAGCTGTTCATTACAATGTGATTGTAAATAAGGCTCCAGTGATGAAGACAGTTAAATGCAGTTAAATGGTGTAGCATTAGAGTTGGAGGAAAAAATACTGTGTTAAGCTAGTTCCTTGATGGGATAAAAGACATATCCAGGATAAAGAATTACTTAACTAATGCTCAAGTTGAGAATTGGGTGACTCAATAGACAGTCATTGTGCTAGATCACTGCCACCTGTACTGAAAGTCATCTAAGTAAAGGAATTGATTTTTTTGTGATTATCTCTTTACACTTTTTCCCCCTTGGACTGTGAGGGAAGGTAACAGGAGAAGCTGGAATATATGCCCTTATTCATCAGGTACTGAAAGCACTGTCCTGATCCTGCAGGCAGCATCTTGACAAAACTGGGGACTCTGGGAAGCAAAATTTCTGCATTTTAAGTGGCAAACTAAATGGATCAGGTGCCATTACCATTTCCATCTGCCTTTTCATTCTGTCTCACTGATGGGTAGATGTCAAAGGTGGATGTTGGGGATCTTCAGGAGTTAGACACTCAGATGTGTCTAGGACAGATAAAGGGACTAGTCCTGTGCTTGATTTATTTATGAACTGAATGTGAGGCTCTACTAGGACAGAAAAAGAAAAGTGAGAAAAAAGGTCTCTGGCATGAACTCATACTGGGTTTGTGTGGGTAAAGTACAGCTGAAGATGCTGTGATGTGTCTGAAACTCCTCTGAAGAGGAGTGAAGAACACAGCTGTTGGTCTGAACTCAAATTGTACTTCTTTAGCTCTTCCCCACCCCTAACATGCCTGGAAGGGAGGGGTGACATCCAATGTACTTAGTACAATGTACTGTGAGCATAATATGAATGCTCTCAGTGGTCTTATGGAAAAGCCTGTTTCTCTCCAGTTATTAGGGATGCAGTTTTCCTCACATTGGCTACCTTTACATGGTGAAGTGAATTTCCACTGTAGTGACAAAAAAGGCTAATGCAACCCATGTATAAATGCTATAAAATGCTAAGCAGGCATGAAAAGACTATGCAGCCTCTGCATTTGGCAGGGATATAATTGCTATTGGAGTATCAGCAGTGTTTGCTGATCTAGTAGGAGGCCAAAAGCTGGAGGCTTTAGAGGAGTTTTTTTTTCCTGACTTAAAATATAGAAAACACCTCCCAAGGACAAGAAGCTCACTCTAGTAGTGTATCAAAGCAAAGGCTGAAGAACAATGTGATTGGTCTATAAATACATTCAACCAGTTCACTAATTTGATAGAGAATTAATCAGTCAATTCAGCAGACAAAATACAAGAAAAAAATTTATAGTCTAACAGGAACCACCTTGCACAGAGTTAGAAATATGTACTTAATAATGTATGTAAATTAATTGCTCTTGGAAGAACTTACCTTGGGTGATAATTATGTTATTGAAACATCTTTTAATCCACTTAGAATGCTTTTCAGGATTATATGCTGTAGTCCGAGTAGAGATACCATATGTGAAGCAGTAATATAATGCAATCTCATTGCCTCTAAATACGTGGGCTATTGGGCTAAAAGACTATAAAGGTTCCTCTGATCTGGAAAAAAAAAAAAAAAGAAAAAGGAATTATTGTAACAAATTTGCTTAATTGAGCTACAAATGTGACTGCATATTGCATGAAGTAGTAGAAAACTGCCTTCTTAAAGGTGAAGGAAGTCTGTATGATCCACTGCTCTGCTTAATTGATTAGCCAGCACCAAAGCATTGCCTGAATGAGGGAGGAGAGGAAGTGTATTTTTGAACTGACAGATCCCTACTTTTGAATCCCTTGGATCAAAAATTTATCTATAATTAGCAAAAGACATCCATATGGTGACTTTTCCAGTCCCAGATGGGTAGCTGTCATTTTGCACATGATCTTTGCTTCTCTTTTGAAGTAGAAATGAGTAATCTTGGAGATATTAATCTGACTTTAACTATATTTATCCTTCTATCAACAGTGATGACACACTTTGGTTTCTGTCCTGGTGTACACAGTGTGTGCTGCGGTGCAGAGGATTCCAGCTGCCATCATTTTCAGTGGAAAGAATAATGATCACAGGGAACTGTAAGTAAGTTATTATGGAATATTTGTATATTTAAATAGAAACCCCAAAATTTTCAAGAGTGGTGATACAAAGATATGCCAGACTTGAATCTCTGCTGTGGGCATGATAGAAGGTGTTCTGCAAGTGCTTGAATCGGCTCCCCTTTTCAGGGATGTGTTACCTGGCACAGCAGCAGCTGTACACCTGCTCCTGCCTGGCAGGGGACTGCCAGGAATAGTTGTGCCAGAGCAAACAAAACAAGTTAAAATAATTTACCGTGCCAGAAAAGATGTTTAGGTGTCTGACTTACCTTTTTCTCTTAACTCCTGCAGTACTGATCCTTAGCATGGATCTTTCTGCCCTTGCCCATATAGCTTATGTGGTTCCATAACTTGTGTGTTTAGACTTCCATTTTATTTTTTGTGGGTGGCAGGGATTGGAAAGTAATTGTGTGTGTAAGGGGAAGGTATTTTGTAGCAAGTGCTATGTCTGTGCATGGCTTTGCCCCCTCATTTTTACAAAAAATAATCTGGGTTGTTTGTGCTCAGATATCCATACAGGGAGGCTACAATCTCTGTAAGTGGTGCAATACCTTGACATTCCTCTTAGTAAGCGTTCTTCTTAAAATTCAATCTTATTTTGGATGGGAAAAAAATGTTACAGTACAGATTTTTGCTACCACAGGCAGTGTCAGAGGAAAGAGGCCAGATCCAATCAAATGAAGTAAATGGAATTACCCTGAATTTACTCCTGTATAAGTGAGAGCTTGTTTCAAGCCCCAAGCTACATGAAAATGATTGCTGTTCTCTTTGCTAGCATTGCCCATATGAAAGCTGACATAAATACAACCTAGAGTGAACTTATTTAGCAAGTGATAGGGTACATTTTTTCCATTGTGATTGAAAGACCTTAAGAATGCAAGTCTTGGATGCACGAAGGTATAAAGGTGCTTGAGTTGAAGATCAATAGGAATTAAATGCTTAAGTGACTCAGGTCTATGCCTCTGAAAATATTCAAGCACTTTTAGCAACTCTGTGATCATAGTTCCTTCTTTTCAGTGCTGTTCTTGTGATAAAATTTGATTGGGTTTTTTTAACAACCACCTGTGAAGCCCAGGTGATGAGAATGAATGTCAGAATTTGATTCTTTTAGGTTAATGTCTTTTATAAACAATTAACATTTCAGCATTTGCTGGCTAATAACAGGTGAAATTTTAGCATAGTTGTAAACTTTGCAAGTATCTATAGGGGCAGAAGATCTGAAAACTAATGTTGTCATTACAAGGGTGGGGGCCACCTGCACTCCTCAGTGAGGAGAACCCCCCCCAGATACTCAGGTGCAATTGGAGAAGAATAGTAGTCTTGTATTCAGCTGTGTTATGACTTCAAAAGGAACCAGTACTTCATATCTTGTGTTTGGGATTTTTTGCCCCAGTTATAGCAGATGTCAGACAAAAAAGAGGTTTTTTTCCTCTGTCAAACTTACTAAAACTTTTTCTGTGATTTCAGCCTCCTACTTCAAGTCCCTTTAGTGTTTTGTTCTAGATACTCTCTTAACATTGCTGTACAAAAAGACGTGGCCTCAGTCAAGAGAATGCCTTTAGGAACAATACCACATGGATTAGATCAATAAGAAACCAGGAGGAAAAACACATTGCTGTGGTCTACCTGCATGTTCTAAAACAGGATGAAAAAACATGTGCAGCAATGCTGAAGTAGCTTGCTACTGAAACAAGTGACGTGGGACTTCTTTTGCTCCATGTCTCTTGCAAGCTGTGATGATTAGATATCAAGGGGAACTGCAGGTTTTACAGATACCAGATTAAATAATCTAGCATTTAATCTCTGGTGATTTTGAGTTGTGCCTCTAAATGCTTGACTAAGTATGTAAATTTAATAAGACTTGTATATATACTTGAAGAATGTGCCAAAGATTTAAATGTTGTGGCAGAACTCAGCTCCAGTGGGTATGGAAATATTCACTGTGTACTTCTCATCCTAGTAAGTCCTTCACAAATAAACCAAGCCACAGCTAAATTGTGAGTAAGGCCAAATGATTTGTGGCCACAGCAATATTCAAACCTTCACTTCTCCAGAGTCTGTGGAAAATGTAAATTCAACTGAGCCAGTAAAAATTATTACTCGGATTGAAGGGAGGATAACCAATGAAAAAAATTGAATTAGATATTTTCCAAAAAGAGCTGGGGAAGGTTTCTCACCTCCCCCCCACGGAAGAGCACTTGTACCTTAAAACATGCAGTGTGAGGCCCAGCAGGTTAAGACTTTATATCTGCTAAATTTTCAGTTTTGGCTTTTGAATTTGAGGGGTTTTGTGGGTTGTCTCAAACGACTTTTCTTCAGTCAGAGCCTAACAAGTACCAGTGGGGAAAAGCTTCCTAGATTACAGATACCTTTTCATTTGCAGTTTCTGCAGGAGATTTGCTGCCACACTGAATTGGCAAGAATCTTGCAGAAAAATACACAAGGTAACAAAGAACACTTAATCACACACAGCACACTATGAAACAATATTTTCTTCCTCGTTGAACAACAGTAGACACCATGTCCAAGTCTTTGTCAGTCCAAATGAGTCAAGATGAGGAAATTCTGCTGCTATGTTTTAGGACTTATTAGAAGTGACTGATGCTTAATAAGGCTTAAAATTTGTGCACACACTCCTATGGATTGGAGTTTTTCCCTCAGTTTCAATAAGTACAGTCAAGAATCAAAATTCATATGAAATAAAAGGTTCGTGACTCCCCAAAATTTAGGTAGTATCACCTAATTGTGTTTTGCTTGAGTTCTCTTATTATTAATTACAGCTAGGAGAGCAAAAGGATGACTTCATAAGGGTGAGAATAATTCTCAATTTATAAAGAGTTTTGGGGTGAGCAAAATAGCACTGAGCTCTAGCAGCTGCTTCATCTTGTGCCATCTTTAATGTTTGATGCACTTTTGTTAGAAGCAGACCAAAGTATATTACTGTCATATATATCTTCAAAAAACCCAAAAAAACTCCCAATCAGTCAGGTCAGTGGAAACAGAAAGTTTCTGCATAAAGAACTTGAAGGCACTCAGTGGGTGAAGCTCTATTGAGGTGCATTTTTTACTCTCTAGGAAAGAGTTACAGTTTGCAGTATAATCACCAAAGTAAAGGGAACAGTCCTATCAACATGTGTGCAGATCTGGCACCCTCCAGAGAGGTTTAGAAATCTGATTCTTCCCGTTCTGTTCTCGTTCTATCTTAAATTACATACTGTTTGTCAGAATCTGGGACAAACTTAGAGCTGAAGGCTCAAGAGGAAACTTGTATTTTTTGTTATTGTTAATGGGATATGCAGAGAGATTTTTATGTATAGCAAAGTCTGGAATGCCTTCTCAAAGCTTTGAATTCTGATTCTTTCCTGATGTGAGCTTTGATCTGCTGTTTACAGGATGCAGATTTCCAAAGCCTTTAGCAACTGTAAAGGTTCTGCTCCTAATACAGATGTACAGAAAACAGGGATGAGTCTGTGCAGAGAGAAATCCTTTAGAATGTAACAGCAGGGAGCCTTGGGAAGTTCTGCCCTGTGTTATTGCACATGCTGCTTCCTCACAAGGCTGCAGGCAAATTAGAAACTGTGTGATCAAGAATAGCTTCACAGAAACCCAAAAGGAAAGGTACAATCAGTGTCAGTTAGTAACAAATTAATTATACAAAGACTAATGTTCAATTATTTTATTGTGTCTAATTTGTTTCACACACATTTGTCATCCATCTGCATTCTGAGCCTTCACTGCTGTTGGATTTATTACTGGCCCAAGGTCCAATCACATATTTCTCTGTACTTCAGGATCACTTACACACAAGGAAGGCAAATGCTCAGAGACAGTTTTTAATAGTATTGGAGTGACATTTCCCTCCGTGCTTTGGCCATGCTCTTATTAGCCAGATCTCTGTGCCCTTTAGGTGGGTTCTGAGGGGCTTATTTGGTAAAGTATGTGGGTGGGAGCCTGGTTATGTGTAAAACCTGTTTGAGACTTGCCTGGTATGTAGGGAGGGAGCAAGTTAAGATATATCTCTTATGTTAGATATATTATCTTATATAATACCAGAAGGTGTATAAAATACCTTATGACAGTCCTCTAACAAAGCTTCTGTGCATCCGTAAATGGCAGTGGGAGATTTCTATAAAGCCTGTACCTGGTTGCTGTTTGGTTCTGTTACATCCCCCCTTGCTGTGCAGATGAGGTGGGATGATGAGAAATGACCAGGCAGAGTCAAATGGTAGAAGTGATGCTGCTTCTGGGTACCAAGAGGACTCTGGTAACAAGGACGTCCTGCTCTGCAGGAATCTCTCCATATGGGAACTGTGCTATCCAAACTGCACTGTAATTCCAGTGTCCATTTCTCAATTACTTGGAAGCTGTCTGCTTTCCTGAGGGATGCATCTTATTCCAGCACTTCAAAACTATGCATGCAATTTACTGCTCTATCAAAACAAGGAGTTATTTGCTCCTCACAAAAGCGGGAGTCCTGGGACTGGAGGTGATTAGAGTGTTGCAAGGCTGCTCTATCAGCCATGTTATAGCCTGAGTTACTGCCTTCAGTTGCTCTTTATCTGGTGTTTACAAATACTTGTTTGCATCAGTGTTTTCTGCTGCCTTTTTATCTCCTTTTTATCACTGTGTCACTAAAAGCCAGTTCTGTCACTCTCCTCTAGTTACCCATTTTCTGCCTCTGTTGACGGGGTAGTTGTAATACTATTATTTCTGTGCTATTGGAAAGCAGCTTTCTTTTTATTCTTTTTCCATTCTCTGCCTCCAAAAAGCAATTCTGCTGGGTTTTTATTTGTCTCTCTGCTACTATTTGCATTTTAAGGGAAGTAATTTCTCGATTTTTTTTTTTATTTTATCTTTTTTAGCCAGTGTCATCAGCTCCTGTGAATAGGAAACACTTTTTCTTTTTTATTGAAGTACATTTTTGGTTTGCTTTGGAAGGTATTCTCCCTTGCCTTTGGATTTAGAAACAAAGAAGACCAACATCTGTTATCAAATAATGCTTGACTGAAGATTTGAAATGGTTGTTAAACTATTAGAAAGCCTTTGAAATCTGAAAATCTCTGCTTAATCTACACTAATCAAAAATCTTACCTAACTGTTTTGCAAAACCATTAGAAGCCATATTGCCAGATTTAATCATTGAGTTAGACTGACAGAAGTTTCTGAATGTCTTTCTGCTCAGTTAATTAGTTCACTCTCTAATCGGAATTATTTGGAAGGTGCCTCCCTCTCGGGCCACGTGTGATGGAACAGTATTGAAAGGTGCAGGAATACCCAGTGACCCGATCCCATGTAGATGTTAATCTGACACTGCTTGTCCATATGTTCCTTATGTTCCTTTTCATGAGAAGCCCAAAGACACTCCATCATCCAAATTACATTTCCCTATCTTGATTAATCTGTAAGTCTTTAATTGACTGTTCCTTCTATCTGTTGGTGACATAGGTCTCTTGTGTCAGCTTTTTTCCTTTCAGCATGGAATCATTCTGCATTTAGAAAGCAGAAGGATAGTTTTTGCATTTCAGTTTAATTTGATATGACATTTTGGGTACCCTGCAGGATACTTTTCTCGTGGTTTTTTTAAATACGTTATCAGAATATAAAATTTATTCATTACCTTAAATAATAAAGTGTTCAAGTTATTTACTTTTTTATCACTAGGACTTTGTTACTTCCTTGAACTGGAAGTTTCTTACAAAACCAAGCCCATAAGAGGCAGTGACATTGGGAGTAAGGCAGAAAAATGCAAAATGAATTCCCAGGTTAAAAAAAAAAAGAAAAAAAAGAAAAATTTCTTGAACTAAGATGAGATCCAGAGGATGAATTAATTTTTTAAGTATGTAAGTAGAAGAATCTGCTTGTTTAAAACTTATTTTGAAGAACTTTTGTTGCTGCTTAAACGGCTTGTGAATTTTTGTGCAGTCTGTTTTTATAAACCCATCCAAAGATACCTTGTGATGATCCAGCTGTTACTAATATCTGTAAGCTGCAGAGAGCACGGTTGGGTGCATTGAATATCTCTCTGCAGAAAAAGGCCAGGGCTCATATTAAAAGATTAATTGTGTCAGCTGGTTAATGTTCTTACTTGAAGTTGGTGTCCACTGAAAGCTAGAGGAAAGTCTGTCTCACATGAGGAGACTGGGTTCTTATGAATGTGTCATTATATTCAAATGTGGCAAATCTCACATTAACTGAATTTCTTACTCGTCTTAAATGATTCTTTGCTTGTGAGCCTGGCATAGTTATATGGCAAAGGTGTGAGAATGTAAGGGATCCCTAGCTGAGTTCAGGTAAGATGTGGTGTTGGGTGTGTTTAACGTGTTAAACTCATACTATGAAACTTCAGTGTGGTTACAAAATGTCTGCCAAGAATTGCCATGCAAGAAGTATGACACTATAAAATCCACAACTCGTATCCTGGTACTATTGAATCACACTTTAATAAAGTCACAAGTATTGGAGTCCTCTTTCTGGTAGGTTCTGGTCTCAGATTCCCTTCAGCCACCTGCTGATAAGTGTTTGCCTACCCCTTACTCCAGAAGTTAACAATCTGTTGCAGTGCAGCCCTTCACATAGTTTTCAAAATGCCTGAGCTCCTTTGGGAATTGAATTTGCAATAAAAATGTAAAATATTTCTAGAAGTTACATTGAAAAACATATGGGAAAGAACTCATCTATAGTTACAGCTTGGCACTGTTGTAGCCTGGCTTAAGCTCTGCAGCAGGAATAGCTGATACCAATGGGAGGGAGGGGAAAATCAGCCTCTCACATATGTTTTGCCTGTCCTGTTTCTTCTCTAATACATGCCAATGTGTTATTGTCACAGATGCCATCAGAAAGGCTTTTCCACCTTCAGCAAATACATTTTGGGGCAAAGCAGGTGAAATCACTGGTGACTGGGAAATTTTAGCCCAAAGTAAAACAAAGCTGAGGCCACAAGTTGTTTTCCTTTCTTGACACAGCTACATCAGAAATATGGTAACATTCCCACTTTGATTAAATAATAGGGAGAAAGAAGGTGGGCATAGGAAGCAATCTGAAATAGGGTAGTTCCTATTTTAATCTGAGATTACCCAGAGGAGAAATTGTTTTACATGTTAATTTGAAAATACAGGCTGACAAAGTGTTCTAGGGGAACCTTTGCAAACAGACACATTTCCAACACATTTTCAGTGAGAATTTGATACTTTGCTTTTCCATGATATCTTTGGATGCTTTCTGGTTTGATTCTATATTGTGTCACTCCCTAGATGTGTTACAGAAGGTGGTATTTTCACATTTCCTTCATAGCTCTTGATGTCCAACACTGGTGGTCAAGCCCAGAGCTGGTACTCTGCTGTTACCCTTGGTAACTCTATTCTCTCAGTTGTCTCCTGGTCTTCGAATAAACTACAGACTCCCAGATCTTGTTGAGCTCTTCTTCTTCTTCTGAGGGCTCTTTCTC